CACACACACACACACACACACACACACACACACACACACACACTGTACTTGACTCCTGTGCTTTAAAATCTTTCAGCTGTACTGGGCACCTGGTGGCTCACATTTATAATCTTGGGTACTCTGAAGGTTGAGACATGGAGGATCATAGTTCAAAACTAGCCTGAGAAGAAAAGTTCTCAAGACTCTATCTCCAATTAACCAGCAAGAAAAGCTGGATTTGGTTGGGCAACAGTGGCTCATGACTGTAATCCTATTTTCTCAGGAGATTGAGGTCTGAGGATCATAGTTCAAAGGCAGCCCAGGCAGGAAAGTCTATATTAGTCTTATCTTCAATTAACCACAGAAAAGCCAGAAGTGGAAGTGTGGCTCAAGTTGTAGAGTGACAGCCTTGAGAAAAAAAAAAAAAGCTAAGGGACAGTGTTCAGGTCCTGAGTTCAAGCACCAGTGCCACCAGCACACATACACAAGGACATGGCTCACGCGGTAAAGCACCAGCTGTGGGTGAAAAAGCCAGGTGAGGGCATAAGGCCCCGAGTTCAGGCCCTGGTACTGGCACACACACGGATATTTTACTAGCAAAGGAACAAATCCCAGCAACTACCGGCCCCTGTGCAATCTGGCCCTTTGTGGTCTCTTTAAAACCATCTTGTGATTCCCTCCTCTCCCACTGAACTGTCACACTGGTTTCTATTTAGAGATTCTGAACACTGAATTCTTTCCACACTTCATTCTGCCAGGAGTCCTTCACCTTTCCCCTCCTTATTATGAACTTGTTGGCCTGTTCTTCAGGTCTCTGCTCAAATATCACTTTGCTTAAATGTCACAATCCTAAAGAGGTTTCCTTACTCATGTTATCGATGCTCTAAACCACACATATTTCATCCAACAAACTTATCAAAACTGTAATTAAACATGCCTATAGTTATTTTTTTGTCATCCTTCTTCCCCAGGGACCATCCTCTTTATTCCCCTTTCAATAATCAAGGTCTCTTAGTGCCAGAGAGTGGGTGAATGACCAGTTCCTACTGAGGAATATCAGAACCTTGTAAATGTGTATACCAGGCCAAGGAATCACAGACAAAATGCTAAGACAGTGAACGTGGTCCTTGTGGGTAACAGAATTCCATGGTCTCAGAATTTATCGTGTCGTAACTATAGTCACTCTGTATGTGGCTTTAGTAAATTAACCAATCAGATTCTACCAAGCGATTCTAAAAGTTAGTGGTTTTCTTGGTGCCCTGGTTGAGCATCAGATGAGCACAACTGTACTGGAGGGATAATGACTGCTGACTTGGGATAGCTGTGAGGCTTCATTAAAGAAGGCAAAGCAACTAAAGCTTCAGGAACCAAGTCCAACCCACAGGAAATATCCAGTGAAAAGTAACTCCCATTATTCAAGAATCACAGAATGTCTGCTGTGTTTGAAGTATGGAATGGAGACTAATATGATTTCACGTTTGTTAGGCTTTCATGTCTGTAAAGTAGCTCAGATTGGTATTTTATTTCATTTTAAACATGCAAACCTGAATCTTAAATAGAGTTGGCAAATGAGAAAGCTGGGATCTGAATACAGATTCTAATGCAGTAGGGTGCAGCATATTGATATTAAGCTGTTAAATGTGTGTATTTACTCTATCTCTTAGGAAAAAAAACCCAATAGGGAATCAGAGCAAAGGTAAAATTTGATTCTTTGAAAAGGCTAACAAAATTAATAAGCTGATCAAGGGAAAAGAACAAAGCATAGACAATAAATACCATGAAAGTAAAAACAGCAATCACGATATTATTTTTTTAAAAAGTATTTTTGAGAGAGCATGTCACTACATTGTCCAGGATGCCTTAATATTCCTTGGCTCAAGCAATTTTCCTGCCTCCAAGTAGATGGGACTATAGGTATAGGCTAACATGCCTGGCTTTTTTTTTAAGTTTTAAAGCTATAAATCAAATAGTAGAAAATAAAATATACCCTGATGTAAGAAGAAAGTTTTAAAAATTGACTTCTTATAAGTGTTAAAGAAATGGGAGTTACCAGTTCCAAATCTTCCCCAAAAAACTCTCAAAGTCTTTAAGTATTAATTCAAAACTCTCAAATAAAGGCCTTAGGTATGAATTCTTATAATAATTTAAGAAGAAACCATTGCTAGTCTTCACAAACTCTTCCAGAGAACAAAAAGAGGAGGTATGTTACTCATTTTAAGAGGCTGGGAGAACTGTGAGACCAATATCCAATGAGGGGCTGGGAATGTGGCTGAGTGGTAGAGTGCTTGCCTAGCATGCATGAAGCCCTGGGTTTGATCCTTCAGTACCACATAAACAGAAAAAGCTGGGAGTGCTGCTGTGGCTCAAGCAGTAGAGTGCTAGCCTTGAGCAAAAGTAGCTCAGGGCCTTGAATTCAAGCCTCAAGAGTGGCAAAAAAAATCCCAATGAGGATTTTTTAAGAACAGGGAAATGATAGGCTAGTTTCAGTCATGAACACACATGCCAAGATTCCACATAAATATTAACAACCTAAATATAGTAATATACAAATAGTAAAATCATTGATAATTTATGATGAAGAAGGATGTATCCTAGAAATACAAAGTTGGGTTAACAGGAGGAAATCAGTCAATGTCATTCAGCATATTAATACATTTTTTTAAAAAATCTCATATTTTCAAAATATTTAGCCAGGTGCCAGTGGCTCATGCCTATAATACTAGCTACTCACAAGGCTGAGATCTGAGGATTGTGGTTTAAAGCCAGCCTGGACAGGAAAGTCTGTGAGACTTATCTCTAATAAACCATCAGAAAACCAGAAGTGGTGCTGTGGCTCAAGTGATAGAGTGCTAGCTTTAAGCTGAAGAGCTGAGGGACAGTGCTTGCGCCCAGAGTTCAAGCCCCATGACCAACAAAACAATACAAAAATTAGAAAAAATAATTTGATGAAATTCAAAATATATTTCTTATAAAACATTGAGCAAACTAACCCTAGAAAGTGACTTCCTTAATGTGGTAAAAAGATCTATCTGTCTGTCTGTCTGTCTATCTGTCTATCTATCTATCCATCTATTTACCTATCTATCTAGACAGAGTTTAATATTAGCTGGAATTCACAATCTTTCTATCTCAGCTTAAAGTACTAGGGTTATGGGTATGCACCACTATTTCAAGCCAAAAACATTACACTACTACTACTACTACTACTATTAGTGCCATTGTGGACCTTCAACTCAGGGCCTGGGCATGCTGTCCCTGATCTTTTTTGTTGTTGTTCAAGGCTAGCACTTTATCACTTGAGCCAAGTTTTTTGGTAGGTTTTTTGTTGTTGTTGTTTGTTTGTTTTAATTGGAGATTAGAGTCTCACAGATGTTCCTGCCCAGGCTATTCCCCAACCATCCAAACTTTAATCTCAGGATTACAGGTGACTGACCCCTGGCACAAACATAACTTGCCAGTCTCTGGAAGCTTACTAACTGGTGAAATCTTACTTTGAGATTGAGACTGAGAAAAGAATGCTCACATTCACCAATTCTTGTTGCTATTACAATAGCCAGTACAGAAATAAGAAACAGGAATGAAAATCATATATTTGGAAGAGACAAAAGAAAATTATTTTTATTCTCACATGATAGATTTGCTTTTACAGAAAACGAGCTACACATAAATTATAAAATGAAAACACATGACATAAAAAGCCTTACAAAGTTTTTATTAGAAAAAAAACCATG